TTTATGAACTACCGGAGAGTGGGTGAGGGTTATATGATTTAAACTATACTTGTGTTACCCATATAATTTAATTTCAGTCCAGGATGATCAGTGCAGGTTAGTTTCCAGTTGGTAATTTGAGCAATAATAACAAAAACAGGGGCTAAACCTATCAAGTTGCCCTGCAACGTCCAATTAGTACTAATTGTTTACAGTGAAGTGAATGTAAGTATATGAAATTACAGGTAGATACTATTACTGAGGGTAATATATCTACAGATATTCGTTTACCATTACTAGAGGTAATATTTACTATTAATGTCTTTTCTTTAAGGTATTTGGTCACTACACAAGGTAAAGATATTGTCCAGGCAGGGGATAATAGGCTGAGGTTCCAGCTCAGCTTATCAGCCTTAGAAGAATAAGGAAAGTTCTTACTTGTCTCTAGCAGATCCAAGTTGTATGGGGTGGTCTCGCTTTAGGTACACAAGTAGACAGCAGTCTGGATGTAGCATCCATAAATACATATGCCTAGGAGCTAATAAGCATGCAGCAAGTATCCAGCAAGTAGCTTTTAATGGAGACAGGCAGTAAGACTGAAGTCCAGAGCAAAAGCAGGTAAGCGGTCAGCGTTAATAATTAAAGGTTCTAATTTAGCTAATGCAAGCACTTTATAGGTCTAAACCTAATACTAAAAGGCCTAAAAGGAAATGCAATATAAGTAATACAAATGAAGCAAAAGGTATAGCTAAATATGGACTTACCGAATATAAGGTAGGGCCGTGCTAGGTACTACTTTATTCACAAAAGTGCTGTCGATTAGACAATGTAGTTTCCTAGTGATAGTTGTAAGTAATTCTCTAATATATGGCTTTAATTCCGAATAAAATTCGTTAAATTTGAACAGGCACCACATGGACCAACAAATTCATGCCATCAAAGAAAGAGCCAGAAAGGAAGGAAGTTCCTTGATTTAATGGCCGACCAATATAGCCAACTATGGAAATTTTAGGGGAAAATTGCATTTGTTCAAATAATAAATTATAACCTTGCCATAGATCATTTAAGAAATGAAATAGGTCCTAGTTACACTAGAAGAAGAAAGGTCAAGGTTGACAGATGATTGTCAGAATGAAATGTTTACATTTTCTGTAGGTTAACCAAACTTTCAACTATTAAATTATCAACTTCTAAATCTGTTTTATTTTCAAAATGGTAAGTTTCATCCAACTTTATATAACTTGTGAAAATCTATATCATTTAATCGATTTGTATATTTATTTTCTCCTATTTAAATTAAAACCGTAACAAAATCTAGAAGGTTTATATAAGCTACACTTTCCTTCTCATAAATATCATTGAGGATTTTAAAAACACTTTTGGGTAATCCTAAATATACCTTTAGTTTAATTTCAATTATTTTGAGAGTTTATTGGTTTTGAAGATCCTGCTCTGAATCAGATATTAAAGATGTTTCTTGTGATTCGGACAAAACTTCAAAACATTCAGGAGGTTCCGTTGAAGAGCAAAAAAGTCACAAATAGTTACAAAAAGTCAGAAAAAAGGCACAAGAAGGGCATAAAAAAGTCACAAAAAAGGTAAAATAAAAATATCGCCTCCCTGCTTTTATTAAAATAAACATGCTTCTTATTAGTAGCATCCCCCACCCCGAAAATTCGGTCTGGAACCGCCATTATCTAGCTGCGAACATCAAACGAATGCTGACTACTCGTATTTTTCAAGTACATGTAACAAAATTAGTTGGTTGTTGAGTAGAAAACGATTTGGAAAAAATAATTAGCAAAAGAATTTGCAATATCTGTAATGCTATCAACTGTATTGTGTTTGTACGTCATATTGTTGGGAATAGAATGATTTCTTTGAATTATAGAATGACCAAAATAATTTGGGATCAAATGCTATATTATATTCAATTATCTAAATATAAAGGTATTAAAGATAATCATTTAGATATTTGAACTCAGCTCTCAGTTGTCTGAATTCATCATGTTACTGCGGTCGTCATAAGTAAAGGGACGAGTTAAAGAAGAAGGAGGAATATTCGAGAAATGTCATCCCACGTCAACAAAAATCTGGACAGTTCGGGAAGGTTCGAGAAGGTGAAAGCAAGTTATATAAGTCAATGATCCTGACGTCTTCAGTTTTATGATAGACGTTACACGTTAATGTTATCAGTTGAAATACCAAAAACCAGAGCAACAATATCTTTAATATAATAACCTTAGATTTTAAGAAATTTAGTTATATATTATGTCTATATCTTTTGTCATTTATTAAATGTAACTTTCGATTCATACATCTATGCAAACACTAATGACTGACATTTAAATTACGAAGAAGGGTGGACCAAGAATGCTCCGCTGGGGTGCCCCTCCTGTGATAAAATTGAAATGACATTCCAAACCTTTCGACACAATTTTCTTTTTTTTATTTGTAAAATTTTAATGCTAGTCAAAATCAAACCCATAGTATTTCAAAAAATTGCTCGCCTGGATTTAGGTTCCACATAGTTTTTAAACTGGGTACTACAAGCGACCTTCGATTTTGCTTATTAAGCTCAGATAGTGTTCCCATTTTTAACTATTTGACGACTTACTTTTTCTCAAACACCGTTATTGTGTACTGGTAAATTTGACGCATTTACTAATTTAATTAGAGACTGGAATTGAGATCATATCTGTTTCTGTGTCTAAGAATGAAGTTCTCCTTAGTAAGCACAATAAAAGGTAGAATGTTAACACTCTATAAACTCTAGAATACATGATATTAAATAAAGAAAATTGCAGAAGTTGTTACACGGAAAAAAAATTGTAGAACAAATTTCTACAATTATAGATTTTTTCTCTACAATAAATAGTACATATAGGGACAGGGACAATTTGTAGTAAAAATTTCCAAATATTTGTGGAGAATGTATTGTAGAGTTATTATCTACAATATTTAGTAAAAATATCCAAATGCTTCATAAGAATTGTTCTACAAATTGTTATAATTTTTGCTATTCATTGTATGAATTTATATTAAAAATGTATTGCTTTTTATGAAAATAAATACGAAAATTTTACACAACAAATAGTAAAAATTCATACAAATTGTAGTAATTTTTAATAAAACTTGTAGTAGTATTCCATAATTACTATAATTATAACCTAGAAAAAAATTTTCCTTAATAAAATATTCAATTTATTGTTTTAATATAAAAGATACAAAGTCTTAATTACCTTATGTAATAAATAACAGTAATAATAGCACCCTCAGTCTCAGTTGGCTTTTCTGCACCTGGAAAATATGAAATAAAAATTAATAACAATTGAACTGTTGATACCCTTAAAACGGGGATATTTATCACCTTTACACTGATTTGGATATTAAATGACTAAGTCAGATAACTAACAAAAATGAGAAAGTAGGTATGTCACAATTAAGACAAAAAACATCATTGAATTTGACACAAAATTCGATCGTTGGGCACAACATTCGATCGTTGGCCACAACTATTTTTTTTAAATAATCTACTAAGGTTATTTAAATTAGTTATCTAAAGGTAAATTATTCAGAAACAATAATAAATGTACTTACCACCAATAGAATTTATTATTAAAATTTTCTCAAACGCATCGGTGCTTATAACATAATAATGTGTATAATAGGTACTCGTATATGTACCATGCTTTGTTATGTGAACATGGCGAACGGTTACTGCTGTTTGGCCATTTATGATCGACGTCACAAAACGTTGGCCAATAGCAGAATTCTGTTTTGTTCACATGACTTAGAATTTCTACAATATTATAGAATATTTTTGAACCAAATTGAATATTTTTCATAAGAAGGGATGTAAATTATTACTATTTTTTGTAGAAAAAATTACTATTTTTTGTAGAGATAATTATTAATATTTGTACAAATTTTTTCAGAAGTTAGTAGTAGTAATTACGATAATTGTAATAAATTTCTACTTCTACAAACAATAGTAAAATATACTAAACATTGTGGAATTCTTTCCTATTGTTGTAGCATTTTATTCGACAATTCAATTGCTACAATAATTAATAGTTTTTAACTATAAATTGTAGTAAAATTTTCTACAAATTGTTAAGTATTTTTCTACAAGTCTACTACTACAACATTGTAGTAAAATTTTCTAGTCACATTTTTTTCTGTGTAGTTTGACCTACCTTGTATGGTGGATAACCATAAAAAAGTAAGTATTATCTTTTAACAACTGAAATATTAAGGGATTCTTCGTTTGTACATACAAACCGAAGTAAAATATATTTAAAGTTTTAAATACCTACTATTGGAAATATCCGCAAAATTGCGACAGGTGGCCATCAAACAATTAAAATGTCCAAAGAAAAAGAACTTATCTTTTTTCTGTCAAAAGTTCTCACCAAAATCTAGTGTTGTTAAAAAAGACCAAATTTTGTGAAGGGGAACCTTTCTGGTGGAAGAATTGTGACAGAATGTACAGAAAGTGATTCAAGCTATTCAAAGAGAACAAGATGAAAAAAAATCCTTCTGGTATGAAAACAAAACCTCTTTAAGAATACGACATAAAAAAACTGAATATTTTCCGATTAAAAACAAGACAATTAAACGAAAACTGCTGTAGTAAAATGTTACTCGTTTCCGAAAAAGAGGACGTTAAAGTTTGAAAAAATAGCAGTTGTTTAATTCAGTTGGATATAACAAATTTTCTTAAATTTCCTTATTTATAATGTTTAAATATGAAGAGTACAGGAGAAAAAAGATGAGGGTCCTAAAAATTTAATTCTGAGTAATTGTGATTTTTATTTAGGAACACTACTGTAGAACATGGCATACAAAAATAGTATTGTAGAATACAATTATCGCCAACTTAAACTAAAATCCTTTTTGACAGAATATACAAAAAAATTATAAATTTTTAATACAAAAGTACAAAAAAAAATTTGATTACAATACAAAAAATACTTGGCAAAAAAGATGAAGGTCCATGATTTACAGAAATTGTAATCTTAACAATGTGGTATTGCTGTAAAAAAAGCCTGTGCTTTTTGAGAACAGAATCTTTTTAGATGCTGTAGGTCTTCAAATTTGGCTTTAGGTATAGCTATTGGCCCATCATAAGCTAAAGTTGGAAGCAGGAAATACTTTTCAGGTAACGAAAGTCTCTTTCTTTTTTGTTTTATGACAACATTTTCAATTTCTCGACCATTATAACTGTCCCTATGTATCATCATAGGAGGGTGATTTTTAGTTACAGTTAATTCTCTGACCAGTCTTGTAGAAAAAAGACACTTGGTCATATAGATATCTGCTAGAAATTTTGTCCAACTCTTGAAAATGGATTGATCTTCACAAGAAATAACTTTAAAAAGGCTTGGTTTTGATCGAGAATCCCTTAAAACTGCATTCCATTCTTGAGGGAATTCAACATACGTTTTCTGTTTCACTAAACCCATATTTCTATCGCATTCAAGATACGAATGGAAAAACCATTTTGATTTTCTTAAGCCTTTTAACAAAATGAACAATATAATGTAATAATGACTTCTTTTTGGATATTAATAAACCGATCCCTAATGTGGATCAATTAAAGCTCGCAGTATTCTCAGAAGCTAGCTTCTTTTTATATCCTACTACACCTGTAGAAGTTGATGAAATTATTAAAAAAGTCACTAAAAAACCTTCACCAGGTGTGCAAATGGCAAATCCTTAAAAAGCGTAAGTGACTCAATAAGTGTACCTCTCTCATTTTTAATTAACATGTCATTTTGTCAAGGCACATACCCTGAAAACTTAAAAACATCTAAATCAGTTCCTATATTCAAAAACAAGGGTTCGCAGCATGAAGTTAGCAACTACAGAAATATATGTCTGCAGTCACAGTTTGCTAAGATCCTGGATTACGCTTACTACTTAAGGTTAAGCAAATTTGTTGAACATCACCACCTAATACCAAACTGTCAGTATGGATTCAGACGGAACAGATCAACTGATACGGCAATAAATCAATTATGTGAATATCTATACTCGTGTCTTGACAGTAAAAAACCTCCAATCACCCTGTTTTTCGACCTGACTCGAGCATTCGATACGGTTGACCATGAACTACTTCTGGCAAAACTGTATCGAATCGGAATCAGGGGAGTTACCCACGATTGGATTCATTCATATCTGTTAAATAGATCCCAAGTAGTCGTAATAGACTCAGTTAAATCAAAACCTGCCACAATATCAATGGGTGTTCCTCAAGGATCCACACTGGCTCCCCTATTTTTTATCATATTTATGTCAGACATATTAAATGCTTGCAAAACCTTTGGAAAAATTATCATCTATGCAGATGATACAAGCGAGACCATAGCTGAAGAAGAACTGCAGCTATCTGTCAATAAAGCTAATGAAGCAGCTGAGGAATTTTCATTATGGTGTACAAATAATGGTCTGCTAATTAATACAAAAAAGACAGTTTTTATGGTATCTCAGCCAAAAAACGTGACTTATGATGTTTCTTCACTAATAAAAGTGAATCATGCATCCATAGAACAGGTGGATCATTTTAAGTATCTGGGTGTGACTGTCGACCAGAAATTTACTTGGGAAATGCACACACAAAATCTAGTTAACAAAATTAGTGGTTTATGCTACGTAATACGACGGCTTCGAGGAACAGTTTCACTTAGCGTACTTAGACTGACTTACTTTGGTCTTGTTCAGTCTCTCCTATCGTACGGCCTTGCCTGTTGGGGAAGCTCAGTACACATGAACAAGGTGTTCATTATGCAGAAAAAGATAATCCGATGTATCGTAGGATTGGCTCCAAGGGATTCATGTAAAACTTTTTTCGTTTCTCTGTCAATCTTAACTTTACCTTGTCTATACATATACACCATATCAACTAACATTAAAAGAAATGAAGAAAAGCATCTAAAAAACAATATGATCCATACACACAACACCCGACGGGCTGATGAGTTGCGACTGCCATTCTCCCGATTATCTGTGGGGCAGGGTTCCTTAAGTTACCAGGGAATCTTATGCTACAATAAGACTCTTAGACTTTTTGGACATATACAGAATTTTAATAGTTTTAAAAATACTCTATACAAGTTTCTCATGGAGAATGCTTTTTACTCTATGCAAGAATACTTAGAATTTTAGCTTCTTTAATTTTAATAATTTTTAAATAATATAATTTTTTTTGTATGTGACGTGCTGATCTCTTGATCTTAAATATTGTAAACTAGTTATTTTAAATATTGTATAGTGTCATGGATTTATTTTATCTCTGTGTATAGTGTACTATCTGTTTTGTTGACAAGTCTGACACGCTTTATGTATGTCATGTTTCATGAATATGTAATTCTTTATAGACGAATAAATTATTTCTTTCTATTTCTATATTTCATTCTGAATACTGTGAAGTTTTTATTTTGTCCACAGCATGAATCACAAAATATTGTAAGCTCCTTCACATCAAAATCCAAATAGTTAAAAATATAATCCCATAGTAGTGAAGCAACAACATCAGTACCCTTTTTTTCCTGCAACTTTAGTATAAGTGTAGAAAAGAGCTTCAGAGGTCGAAAGGACGTGTATGTTGAACATGTAGAAGGAAAGTTGTCTACGATAATACGTATTATTAGTTGTAATATTCGGCAAATGAAAATTTTTTTGAAAATCCATAACAGCTTCCTTGGTTTTGTCTTTTTGAGCCTCGAGTCTAGTCGCTTTTTTACGCTTGTAAAAGTTGTCAGCTCTTTTTCGATGTACTTCTTTTTCACCTCGCAAGCTTTGCAGTTCTGTGTGTAACTGCAATGCATTTTGATCATCATCTGCATTTTGATTTATTTTTAATTCAATGTCGTCAATTTTTACCTTCAACTCATCGCACATACTATATGTATCGCATCGTGGGTACCCCAAAAGCAATATTAAATTTGGGATTGAATATTTCTCGATATTTTTCATAAGAAACTAATTTAGCAGGATATTTTTCATTGTACATAGAGTACATTTTGTTAATATTGAGCTCAGCAGGTAAGTAACCTTTGTTGTTTTAGCCAGGCCATAGTGAGACTTCCTACTCTTTAAAGATCTAATGTGTTCCATGACAAAATCTGTTACTTCTCTAGAAAGTCGGTTAGGTCTGGAAGAGTGCTTTCCTCGCATATCTAATGGCGCTGAACCCTTTGATTTCAATCCGCTTTGTATAGTTTGTAGACTTTTTGCAGTTATGCCATGTACGGCTAAAAAAGCTTTATAATACACTGAGATTTCACAATGTTCGATGTTTCTTAAGAATCTCACCTTATAAGTGTACGTAAACGAATGAAAATCAGCATCTTCTTCAGATTTCCTGGGACGATGGCGTGTTACAGGTTTGCACGTTGTTAACCCGCTCAGATAAAGGGATTGTTCATCATATCTTTGCATTTGATTAAACTTAGACACGATCGTGCTTAAATTGGCTGCAGTGAGATTTTGAAAACATTTAAGTTTTGAGCATTTGCAGTCTTGTCCAGTTTGATGACTACTTAACCGTAACCTTTTAGTTACATCCTGCATTCGTCCATAGGATTTTATCTTCCTTGATATATGTTGCTCGGCCATCATTCAACAACAAAAAATAAACCACAAATCTTTAAAAACAGAATAATCAATAATTGCCCCATTTAAATTAAACGACATAAAAACACGTCAGTAACTAGGCAGTGAACTAAATGAACAGCTGTTTACGACTGTAAGCTGGCGCAATAGACCTTTTCATCATGTGATGAGCGCAAGCGCAGCCACCATGTTGAAATAGCGGTAATTCAAAAGTTTCGTACTGTTTTGATCGACAATGGCTGGGAAAGCAATGTTATCTCTACAGAAAAATTAATCATTAGAAAAAATCGTCGATAGTGAATAACTTTTTTATAACTCTGTGGAAGCGCATAGTTGTGAGCAGTTGAAAAGGAGGTTGAAGTGTCTTGGATGTTTGTTACAAAGGAACAAAGTGGACTAATTGAGAGGTTAGGTGTATCAATACTTTTTAACTCTGTAAAAAATTAATGATAACAAATAATAATTATAACTTTATTCTAATTAATTATGCCAACCAACTACTACTACTTGCAAAAACACTTTAATTAGCATGAAAGTTAATCACGAGTATAATTAATAAAATAAATTATTTATTATTTTGAGGATCAACATGACATTTTTAATCATTTAATGTGTATACCGAAGTAGTATTTAATATTAAAAAAATATTGTTTAATACCAGGTGAGAATTTTCTTCTGTTGGACCACTTTCTCCATGAAAATGCAGTGAAATATAAGTATCTTTAGTAACATCATTAATCCATCGAAAACCGTTGTCACTTCGACCATATTTTTTCACACTTAATGCACATTTCAAATATCTTTTAATATGGATTTTGCCTGATAATTGTTTACGATATTGCAGTTAAGGCTTTGGAAAATTTATAAAATAATATCTATTGCCTTTGAATGATTTATACCGTGTGTCACTTTTACATAACAACACTGTTTCGTTGTTCCTTTCCGTACAGATAACATAATTATAATTGATTGTGAAAATGTATTTTTCAATTAAGACACTAAACTTATTATTACTTTACTTTTTTCTTCCTTTTTTTAAATGAATATAGACTTAAATTAATATTTATCAATTATAATTTTTTTCACGTAAGCATTTTAACATACTTGTTTACAAAAACAGTACGAAAAAGATGGCTGAAACTGACGCATGCGCACAAAAAAAAATTGTGATGAAAAGGTCTATAGCGCGTCGTTGCCATTTATGGACTGTCAAACTTTCTTGCTCACATCCTCTGGTACCCTGATCTTTTTTGCCCACTACTATACATTTTAAATCATGTTTATCGTTGTACTACCATCTTTTTAGCCGTTTCTAATAGGTAGATAGTATTTTATAGCCAATATATTATACGAATTCAGTATTACTCTTATTTCGGCAAAAAATGGACCCTCATCTTTTCCCCTGTACTTTTCATATGTTAAGGTACCTGTTCCATAAACGTACACAGGACTATTTTGTTTCCTTTCATTGTTTCTTTGAATCTTTTATGTCCTCTGTTTCTATTTTGAATTCTATCGAAAGCTATTTGTCAATAAAAAATTAAAACAAGAAATTCAATTAAAAAATCAAAATAATTCTCTGACTCACTTGTTCTAGCCCATGCTAACTATGTGGATGAGATCTATGGATTTTGCCTGTTACATCAAAGATTACAAACGTTAACAAAATGATTATTTTTAGATTTATTTGTGATCTCAGGCATCGTAATCATGTCACAAATCATTTGAAAAATCTTGGATGGCTTAATTTAGACAATGCTGAAGCATTGTATTACGAGGCGTTTTGATATTCCGCCGTTGCAGCGCTGCGGTCAGCATTCCGCGCATACGCGCTGTGTACCCCTGCATC